CACATACATCGACAACAAATTCTCATCAGTATACATTTTTACATTACACCAAATATGCAAAAATGCATAAAAAAGTAAAACTCCTCCAGAATTCACTCTCTATTGAAAGGCGGGTAGCATTCGAAGTAACCGACAGCTACCACGTGCCAGCAACTACCATTCGTAGGATGCTTCTTACGAAGGCTCTTCAGAAGCAAGTTGGTATTGTGACCTCCCACATGCGTTCACCGTCGTAACGAATGGATGAATCATAAAAGCACTGACTATCCTACTGGTGGAGTCCAGTCATCGTACATTAGCATAAAAGCAGAGATATTTGCCTGGACATTACAGCTGCCTACTGACTACTAAACTGGACTGCTCAGCAGGAGAGAAATATTTATAACAAAAGTCAAAAAGCTAAGTTTCTTGAGTTCCAGAAAAATTCGCTGCAACAGCTGAGAGCGACAGGCATGTAATGAATACTCGGACGGAAAAAACCGTCCCAAATCCGATCCTTTCCAAAAAATGACCTTGAAGCAGACTGTTAATGAAATAGCAATAGTAATATTTGCAGGTGAATCGACTGTACCGAGGAGAGGAGGGAAGAACGCACCGAGAAAGGAAGCTGTCTGGAGGATTCCAGTAGCTGTCATCATCGAATCATACTTTTCGAGGGCAAAAAAGTGAAATACATTGTGAGTGTGACTGTTCCGGACGGTAGGTTAGATGGCTTTGAAGCGTTCGGCGGCTGCTGGCATCACGGCCTCACAAGGTTCGGTGTTCCCATCCCCCTTCCTACTTTGCTATAAAATGTTTCACACACGCCCATCGCAGCGACGTAACGTTTTCCTTAATATCCTTTCCTTGGTTGGAGCTTACTGGATTATCACAACGCTGATCTCGTTCTCCAATAACGACATGGTATGTTGTTGTTTTGATAAAATGCACTTTTAGTGAGAACTTTTGTGCCAAACATTTCTTGGATGTCGGTTGCCATATTTTCCCAGCCTCTGGTGCACGCACAAAGTTTTTGCAAGTAAAATTTTTTGAAGGACAGCAAATTAGACTCTAGGACATTTTCCTTCGCACTTGAGGGAAAAAGAAAATGATCGCCATGAAAAAACATTAGTATTACACAACTTACAGCAATCAGAAAGACAAAACTCTCTCCATATTTTGCCTTAAAGCAAGCCCGAGCAGTAGCAACAGTCAAATGCTGGCATCCGCTGGTTAGACTGTCGACGGCTTTCGTCTCCGGATGTTGCATAAAAGCAAATTTTCGTCGTGAGCACACATGCTATTAAGTGTTTCAGCCCCTCAAAAAGAAGACACAGGAAATTTTTATTCCTAATTTATATTTTAGTCGTAGTGTCAAAGATTCCTTTGTAACTCACTCTTTAGAGCAAGCACTGGCATTCTTCGAGTTCATAGCAATTGCCAAAACCACTCGCTCGCAGTGCCTCCCCTCCCTCAAACAAGCCGAATAGCGATTTTGACTATCAGCACTATTTCTTAGTAAAAACAAATAAAAGACGGGCTGAATTGATTTACCGACTTTCTGCAAAAATGTAGCGCCACTTACCATTGCATGACTTCCGGCAGCAAATAATAAGCGGTCAGGATTGCCGTTTTGTGGTTTCGGTGTAACTAGCTCTGGTCCACGATAGGCACAGCTACGCTAGCTCATACTGGCCGAAGCTGCAAATCTTCATTAAATATTTGCAACGGCTGCCAAAGGAGGCTTTGTTACCATGGAATTTGTTTGAGCAATAATTTCTTTTGAGTGGGTGCCACTCGCTGGTGCGTAACGTCCTGGATCACCAAAAAACGAATAATATGGCCTGTTTACGTAGAAGAATCGTTTTTCTCCTTGGAAAGCCCAAATTCTAGCATTATTCTTACAAACTTTGTTTGACCGGCGAGAATTTCCGAGCAAAATTTTATCAAACTGTTCTTTATAATATTCTAAAGGAATGAAAGTTTCGAAAATAACCTACGTAAATTTGTGCTTGACAGGACAACCATGTTGTGGATGCTAGAGCGGAAGCGATGTTGAAAGAACCACTCGGTCGGCAGTTGCAAGAAAATGGAAATCTCCTTCCTGATGATTCCAAACAGCAACTCGACAAACCAGTCAGTGCTAATGCAAATTATCAGCAAATACTACGGGCTAGAAGGAATCACCAGGATGCCGAAAAGATAGCGGAAGAGGAAAAATTTTTGAAAAAAACTAGCATTTTCGAGAAAATTACCGGAGAGGACAACAACGGGCTGGAGAAGGTGAAAAAAAAGTTTTTTTCACTACTTTGAACAATCCATATAGTAATTTCAGCTGTCATCGGTGGTGAGTCAAGATTCGATGCTGGTGCTTATACGAACCTTCCACTGCCACTATATAGATTCATGGACCCTGATGCACCATCCTCCAGTTATTGTCCACTACCTGGTCGGTGTATATGCTTCTTCAAAGGCCGTCCATCGTTTGCTTCCTTCCTCGCTGGTACTTCGTACCTAACAGGTGACATCCGCTAGATGTCAACAGGAGCGGACAACATAGATCTTACTTCGTCACGTCTTTGCAGTGACATCCTGAATATCGCTTATTTGATGAAGAGTTGATTGCCTCTATAGTCACATAGAGAGTCAGCTTATTCTTTGCTTCCTTGTTTTCTCAATTACTTCAGCATTCCCTTGCGCATTCATCATTGTGACCACGTTTTGCATCCATGTATCAACACTTTCTGCACCGTGTTATTTAAGAAGGTGAAAGCGGTCTTCCCAGTTTGACACTTTGAAGACGTCAGTGGTTCCGTGAAATTTGCTCAAACCGGCAGACGTTTTTCTCATGCAGCCTTCGTTTGGAGATTGTGACGACTACTTCTTTCTAGTTAAGAATAACGTTCTGTCAAATCCCTTCAAGCAAACACTCCTGTTACGAATGCAGAAACTGAAGACAAGCAGAACAAGAGAGAAAGCAACTTACATGCACTCGCCAAATGTTTGCACTTCAGTGGCATCCACATGACTTACACTGTTCGGAATGGCTATTTCTTATGTATCTGGCAGTGTACGAAGAGAAATAAAAATAAGTTTAAAATAAATTATAGTGTTTTAGCAAACAAAGTGAATTTTAACAATCTTTACTTGAAGAAATGCGTATAAAGTAGCAATACAATGTTTCTACTAGTGCGCTAAAAAATCTTGAAAAGCCTTTTTTTCGTGATTTTGTTACAGACCATCAGTTTTTTCAGTAACTTAATTTTTCGTTTTTCCGTGTGTTCTAGCGGCTGATATTAAATTTCTCAGCTAATAATTTTTTGTGTTGCAGCCAAATATTCCGCAACCAAGACGTTTTATTTATATGGAAAGCAGCCCAATTTACAAAAAAGATGATCCAAATCAGCCTGGAGAGTATGGTGCTGCAGTTAGCATTGACAAAAATGTAAGCAGAGATCTTGGAGTTTTTTGTAGGATGGATTGGTCCAGAAATCTTCCGAATAAGTTGACTTCGTAGAAATTAGTACTCAGTTTTTGTGCGTTTTTGCTGTGCAGTGCTATAGCGCTGCTACAGCGAGCAAAAAGGCATACTGTCGAGAGGTCGTCTGTGTGTGTATTTGGAAGCGAGTGAACTTTGCCACCCACTTTCAACTTAGCAGTCGGGAAAAATGTGAGGCTGAAATTTCGGGGTACTCTCACTCCATGTGTCACCCTCCCGATTTAAAATCATCGCTTATAAGGGACTAGATTGTGCGTACGGATCCTCGGAAGAAATATACAAATTTCTTTGGCGAGAAACGATTTTAATTCAAGAAGAAAAGCATTGACCTCTGCCACTTATTTTTTATGCGTTTTTTGCGCCTAAGTAATTGGAGAGGAGACCTTTTCAAGTTATGCAAAAAACCTGAGATTGTTTACCACACACATCATATATTGACTTATTTTAAGACTTATTTTCGCAATTACTCTATGCAAACGTCTATGCGCAGTGGGCGGCCCGTTTACTTCAGCATTAGCAATTCATTAACTGTCATAAAAAAGCTGACCACATTAGACAGTATTGCTAAATTTTTACACACTGCAAAGTCTACCTCATCCTCACATTACTGATTATCTATACTCTCATTCTCACATTACTGATTATCTATACTATCTCATTGATCTCTGCTTCACCAATTCGGGAAAGGAATACGCTGGACTAAGTAAAACCCAAACTTGGTATGGTAATGAATTCACCGGTGATGTTATATCTTATACTAAGGATGAAGTCAAGGCGACGCTTCTGATCATTCTTCAGGAAACATATGTACTTTTAGTGGTCACATTTTCATGCAAGTACAAGGTGTACCAATGGGCGGTAATTCTAGTTCCGATATTGCCGATCTCACATTGTCAGTTATGGACTATCGGTTCCTTCGTAAGAATCCAGGGATTCGTTTTCATCTTCTTCGGTATATTGGTGATATTCTTACTACTGACTGCACCAAATTCGCTGAAATCGCCAGTAATATCTATGGGTCCAGACTGCAACTCAACACCACTTACTCCGGACAAAAGGCTTGCTTTCTTAGACATTCAAATTTTATGCCATGAGGACTACCCATTCAGTGTAAATCCTGAGGGTACCGCGACAGTGGCATGGACCAAACGGTGCAAGAAGGTGTCATTATATCGCAACTACTTCGATATGCACGTATGTGCACTCTTCCGGAGGGATCCATTACTGGGCTAGAAGGCACACATGTATCTATGAGCATAAAAAGTTTCATATTGCCAAAATAGAACGCTCCATTCTCAGATTCTGCTTCAGGAAATCGTCTGTTCTCAGCAAATTCATCTTTCCTGATGATTCAGGAATTAAATGTCTAGAATGCATGCTGTTCTCATAAAAAGTATTTCCTTGTAATTTACACGTAATAGCTTTCCGTAACTTGAGATAATCCCCTTTTCTTTCACTCCTTTCTCACTCTATTTGTTCTTTCTCTGTTTTCTCCTTCTTTCGTATATCCGTCGTGCAAATTAGTTACATGGCTGTACATGGCGGGTAGGAGGCTGTATTGGTGATTTCCGCTCCTACTTGCAGGCATAATTCGGTCTGTGTTTACAGCTAAGGGATGAAACACAGATTGCATCGTAAATTGTCTTCTTATACGTGACACTTAAATCCAATCCTTTTATTCCACTATTTTGTAAACTAGGCGATGTAGAAAGTTGAAACTTTGCGGGGATATTTTCAGTGCACGCATGAGCTAAAGGTTTCAAATTCGGCTATCGTATACGTTTGTACCACGCGCATGATCACTTCAAAATCCACATTTGGCATTGTGATAACTCAAAAACTAACTGGAAAACGGTAGCTCAAATTTTATCAGGATATTTGTTGTTAATATGAAACATCGAATACCGGAATTGATTTTCGTTTCGCACTTGCGCCACAACATAGGGCAATTCAAAGATATTTGTACCGAATTGGCTATTTCGCTTACCGCTGAAACTTTGAAAAGGTATTCTGTATTCACATCTGGTTTCATGCGGACATGCATGTTTTGCAGCTTTTGCAGATGTTTCCCACTAAATAATCTCTATATTTTAGCTTCTCAGCTTTTCTAATCGCTGAGTTGAAAGTGGATGACAATAATAATTCGCCTAAACGCGCACTTAATGGCAGCCTCTCGTCATTGTGCTTTTTATGCGTTTTTGCTGTGCAGCGCTATAGCAGCGCTATAGCGCTGCTACAGCCAGCAA